CCTGAATCAGGTACGTACCATGACCATTGAAGATTCAGTAGCCATTGATATTAAGCAGCGTGCCAATGACAACAAGTTCAAGGTGGAGGGAGATCTTTTATACTTTGAAGAGCAGTTATATATCCCAAAAGGACCAGCACGACTCCGAGTTCTTCAATCTCGCCACGATTTTCCAACTGCGGGACATTTTGGATTCAACAAAACCTTAGAGCTTATTTCTCGAGATTTTTGGTGGCCCCAAATGTGGAAGGATGTGAAAGATTTTGTCCTCTCCTGCAACATCCATTGAAGATTTAAGAATCCTCGGCATCGCCCTTATGGACTCCTACAGCCATTGCCGATTCCACGTCGACCATGGTCTTCAATTTCCATGGGCTTCATCACGGACCTGCCATCATCGAACTCATTTGACAGCATCTTTGTCGTAGTAGATTGGCTTACAAAGATGGTGTACTTTGTCCCTTGGAAGAAGACATCATCTAGTGAAGTCACAACAAGGCTCTTTCTCGATAATGTGTATCGATATCATGGACTACCAGATGATATCGTATCAGATTGATGAACCCAGTTCGTATCAAAGTTTTGGAGATCTCTCTTTGAGATACTGAAGGTGGATATCAAGCTTTCTTTGGCTTTTCATCCTCAAACTGACGGCCAAACGGAACGGGTGAACTAAGTCTTGGAACAATACTTACGATGCAGCATCAACTATCAGCAAGACGATTGGACCACATATCTGCTGCTAGCTGAGTTTGCATATGACAACACCCTCCATGCGTCGACTCAATACACACTATTCTTTTCCAACTTTGGGTATCATCCGAAGCTTGATTTATTGAGTCCGTCAACAAATAACAATCCAGCAGCTGAAGGATTTGCGAAACAACTATCTGTCACGGCCATAATCATGTAAGCTAATAATTACATATAGAAATAGGTAGAAGTAAGTAAAAGTAGATAAAAGTAAGTTAATTCTATAATATTTAATATAGAAGCTTCCTAGAAACTTCCTAGACGCTGCTTTGACTTCATAGGTGTCTTTAATTGACTTTTTGGATTAGAAACGTGGTCAACAAGTTGGCCATGTGCCACACATGTTGTTAGCTTGAAGATCAAGCTAACTATGTGGCCCACACGCAGAAAAACTTGCCTTGTAAGTCAAGGCATGTATCCTACAAAGTCAACACATATTGGAGGTCCTATAGAACGTCGCCACGTAGCCCCTAGTTAGATAGTATATATAGAGACAAGAGTGAAGGCTTCTTCACTCTTGTCAACTCCTTTCTTGCTTCTAGTCCAGGTTCAAGAGTCTTTAGTTTCTTGTCTTGTGGCAATAGCCATTTCAGTTTCCTTTTAATATACCTACTTGTTTACATTTTGACTTATTATATCGAGATAGCCTTTTTGTATATTTTCCCTCATCGAGTCTTTGTCCTTGACATTATCAAAGCTTCAAAATACGTTGAAGCTTCAATTACAATCCGCTCAAGAATCCAGAAGGTGTCTGCAGATAAATTTCGGAATCAAGCACCTACTTTCAAAATTGGAGATAAAGCATGGCTTCTTCGATGGAATATCAAGACCAAGCGACCATGTGATAAGTTGGACTATCAAAGATTGGGACTATTTATCATCCAAAAGCAAATCAATCCAGTGGCGTACCGTTTGGAATTATCGGCTTCTATGAAGGTACATCTAGTCTTTCATATTTCTCTGTTGGAGCCTTATCGAGAGTCATCTTTTCCTGGAAGAGTGTAATATCTGCCACCTAATATTGAGATCGAGAACCACGAGGAATATGAGGTTGAAAAGGTGCTGGATTCACGGCGAAGGTGGGGCAAGTTGGAGTATCTTGTTCATTGGAGCGGCTACGATATTGATGAGCGAACGTGGGAGCCAACTGAAAATCTCGCCAATGCGCCGCAAAAGGTACAAGAGTTTCATCGACAACATCCTCATAAACCTAAGCCGGTTCGACAATAGCTTCCTTCTAAAGCTTGCTCACCCAAGAATATAAGAAAAGGGGAGAGCACCACCAAAATTCGTAGTTGATGTAGTTATTTTTTCCAAGATAAAATAGAATTTTTTCAGTAGCCATAGTTTGGTCTTCTAATATGGATAGCCAAGAGATAGATACTATGCCAGTCAGATTATCTCAATCGACTAGCTCACGAAGGCGACCCCGAGATGAAGAAACGCCTACACCACGACGACGATAGAGGATACCGAGTAACCGATCACTGGTGATTGTATTTGAGTCCGAGCTTGCTTACGATGGTCAGCCAGAAGGTGTGTTTACAGGACAATTTCACAATGAGGACACGAAAGTTCATGCTTGGTCAGAAGTTGAAGGAGTGGGCCACTATCGTTGGCTTCAAGGGTCGATGAACCACTTGCCTCGTGAACAACAGTTGGAGTTCATAGCAGACGTTATGCGACAAGATCTTCATTTTCTTGCGTTGGTACTGATTAATAACATCATTGCTTCTCAAAGACCTCGAAGCTAAAGGAGGGGGTGATGTTAGGGACATAGTCCTTAGAACCTCCTAGAGACAAGTTTCTAGAACCTTCTAGAAGCAAGTCTCTGGAACCTTCTAGAAGCTTCTTAGTTAGTAGAAGATGTTAGGGACATAGTCCTTAGAACCTTCTAGAGATAAGTTTCTAGAACCTTCTAGAAGCTTCCTAGTTGGTAGAAGTTGCTTGAGAAGCTTCCTAAATAAGAGTATATATTGGAATCAAGGCTGAAGAGTTCTTTAGTCTCTATTTTTAGTGAAAATAAGAGTTTTGCAATGTGTATAGAGGGATACATGGTATGAAGGAATGTCCACACAGGAAAAGAGGGGTGTTTACCTAGCAATGATGTTCTTTTGCTAACTCTTTCACTTTTTGTTATGATTCAAGACATTGAATGTATTTGTGTAAGGATAGAGTGCACGTGTTATAATAACTTTTACTTAATAAATTACTATAAAAATGATATAGTAGTTATCAAATAAATTAGTGCAATATAATCGAATTATGCTAATTCTACATATTTTATTCTATTTTGTTATTTTTCATGCAAAACATTCTTAAACATTGATTTTCACTTCTATTTTTGTATTTGATTTTTTTATCACGCTTTAGACATCAATCTTATTCTATTTTTTCAAAGTAGCATAAAATTAATATTGTAACTATGAAATTCAAAAGAGAATTTCAATACAATCAATAAAAAGGTTTAATGTTTATAGTAACAGTAAAGATTAAACCATTTATTTTTTTAAAAAAGGAATTATTGTTAAACATTTTGTTTATTTTTTAAAATTAAAAACAATTAAATCAGTATCATAATTTATTTTTTAATATCAAAATACTATTTAATTATAAAAGTAACATATAGAGTATTTCATATACATATAAAATCAGGCTACATAAAAATAACTAAAAAATAAAAAAAACACTAAATAAAAAATCAAATAGAAAATTCTAATACATGTGATTCAAAATTATGAAATATTTAAAAAAAATACATATATTTTAAGATTTTTAAGTATATTCTATTTATGTTAAAATAAAAAAAGTAATGATCTATATGTTTTATTATGATTAAAGTTGTATAATATAAAACTGGCCAATACTTTAGGATATTATAAGAAATAAGATTATAACGTACAGGTGATTAAGTTTTATAATATTTAAGTATTGGGATGTCCTTATATAACTTTCTCCAAAGTTAATTAATATTTTTAATAAACAGATCCTATTTGACAAAAGAAAGGAACAACAAAGATTCAAAGATTAAACATACTTATCACTAAAATAAAGCTTACTGCTTTAAGTATAATAATAAATTCATATGCCAATTTTACTTGGTAAATTTTTATAAAAATAACATGTCAATGATTAAAATATCAGAACATTCTAATTTATGATAAATTGAAAATAAAACACACAGAAAACATATAATTTTAATTATTTGCACCAAAATAAAATAAAAAACATTAAAGTAGATATTCTATAAAAAAAAACTTTTGTAAAATAAATATATATATTTGTATTGTTGTTTAACTTTTCAAATAAACATTATGTGAAGAAATCTACATTAGCTACTTCTAATAGAATCTTTAGAGAAAGAAGCCTACTTTGAATGACCATGGTTTATTTATTTATTTATTTATTTAATACAGATTCCTTGCGTGGTAAAGAAAATCTTGTTTTAGAAGCCTTGACTTTTTGAAATGGTGTAAAGTGAGACTAAGTCATGACATAGATTGAATTATTCTTTTTATTATGATTCCAAACATGAAAACACACATTTTGGAAGATAACACTATTTATACCATTTAAAATATAAAAACATACAAAAACCTTTTTTTCTCTTTTTTCTAATAGGCTCGTAATTGATTTTTAACTAATTAAAAATTAAGAAGGTACGGCCTTTTATCTTCTCATCAAAACCTAAAAATCCCCTAAACTATAAAACATTTTACAAATTAAATAAAAAACCAAATGACAATTTGATTTGATAGATTGATCCACATTTACCTTTTAGAAAAAATAAAATAAAATAAAAAATCATTGATTTACTCTTCTCCTTTTAAATCCCCCTCCGACGTGAAAGCCATAGAATTCATTGTGACCCACGTAGAGAATGCATGGCATAAGCAAAGCGAAGAAATCACACCCCACACACAATTCCAACCCCAAGGCATCTCTTTGTCGCTCTCTCACTACCTTTTCCAACCCAGAACGTCGCTCTCTCACTTCTCTCCCACCTCAGAACAGGCCTGGTCCATTGTCTACGTGGACTCAGACCCACAGAATGAGAGTGACGTGGACGGGGCCACGCCGAGGGGTCGGAGACATAGGAGGAGGAGATGCGGACGCACACCCCCATGCCACGCCCCCACGGTCACTAGACCCACACCGGCGTGCTAAACCGTGGGGACAGTGCGGGGCTAGCATGAGGCCAGCGCGGTGGGTTGAGCATCGCGTGCCCCTCAAGCCTCTTTTTCGCGTGCACTGCTGCTGCGCCGTAGCCCTAATTCCTCTGCCCTTTGCTTCTTTGTGCTTGTGCCCACTCGGGCCGGTGCGCTTCTCGGGCTGCAGGTTCGCTGGCATTGCATTCTGATTTCGGTGGGTGTTGGATTCCGTGCGTTGATTGCGGAGTTTTGGAGCCCTTGGAATTTCATGGGTTTTTGTGGGTTGATCCTTAGATGGTGATTTTTAGAGCCTCGAGTGAATCTCAATGTCGTGACTGAAATGACCTTCTGGATTGCTTTTAGTGATGACAGGACTTGTTTTGTATGGATTAGCGAATTTCTGTCTCGTTAATTGCACGAGTGATGATCTAGGGTGATGCGATTGTCTTGCAGCGTTTCCTGTGCTTTTGATGTGAGTGCACCGTTTTAAATTGTAATCGACAGGCGCTAGCAGGTTGGAATTGGGTTTCGGCTTGGTAGTTTAATAAGAGTTTGTATTATCAGTAGTGGTGTTTTGATCAATTGGTCACTGTATGGAGGAGTGTAGTGAAAAGAACTCAAACACCTTGTTAGTTTTTTTTTTTTTTTTTTTTTTTTTTTTTTTTTTTGTTTAAATTTATTGGAGATTAGTTCGTCCAATTTTGTTCGAGGTTTAGCCAGGCATTTTCGCTGAATCGTTTCTCTATCTTGTGTTCGCAGATCATCCTGTCGAGGATTTCAAAGAGCTGCTTCGCGTGGTTTCAACTCTATGACACTGAGGTGTTAGTGTTTTGTTAGGTGTTCGGAAGAAAAGGGCCATTTCTAACTGGGCAGAAGAATACCGATGAAAGGCTGGGTAGAGTGTCACTGATCGGCGTGCATGAGAAGCTCATGAATGAGGCAATGGTGCCACCCACTGATCCATTCCGGCTTCGAGGCCTTGCAATTGCACTCGATTCTTCTCATGTTTCAGACACTCAGGATGGGTTTTATCCATCGGGACTGTTTGCCGGGATGAGGTCTGTGTTAGGGTCGCAAGAGGGGCGCGCTGCCATGAAAAACGCCCCTTTAAGAAATATCGATGTGAGAGAGAAAGCCATTTCGGCTGCGGGAGCTGCAGTAATTTCGGCCGTGATTGTTAATCCTTTAGACGTCGCCAAGGTATACCTTGAAACCTACTGTTGATTTTTATTTTTGGAGCGAACGTTCTCTGGAAAATTTAGCGCCACTCAGCATCAAATATATTTAGGTTTTCTGTCCACTTCTAATGTGCTGATTGTTAGGAGCTTGAAATTCCAAGGAACATCTTTTGCTCATTTTATTTCAGCAGTGACTTCTTGTTTCCATTGGCAAGGATTTCAAGGTGTTGATTGTGGTGGGGTGTTTTAGTCTGGCTTTGAACGTGTTTGTTAAGTCTTGAAACTCATTGTTTATGCAGACAAGACTCCAAGCGCAAGGAGCTGGAGTATCTTATCAGCAGACAGCATGTGAAATGGAGGGTTCAAAATCGTTCAAGGTATGATATTTTAGATAACATTCTGGTAGCTATTTTTGTTTTGAATTTTTTTATTCAAGCTGGGTGCCTTAACGTGCCTTTATTGTTGCGCAGTTCGTTGAATCTCCGTTCCGCTCGGTTTGCATAAGTTGGAGCCTTTAGGGGAATTATATTGATTTTATGCTAGTTTGCAGTGTGTTGGTACTTAAGTTTAGAATATTAGAGTTGGTAGTTTTCATTCTGGGTGATATATTGAGATAATCTGCTTTGGGAAAATTTAACAGGTGAGTGTGGATGGAAGGTGTCCCCCGGCATGTCCTCGAACCACCGTCGCAGGAGTATCTTATAATTGCCCTCCTCCGGGTCAACAGTACAAGGGCACTTTGGATGTTATGCGAAGAGTTGCTCGTGAGGTATGGACCATTATTTCTGCCCTCATTTTTCACTTTGTAAGCAATTGATGCGGGCCCCTAATAGATATGAATAGGATTCAATCATTTTGACTGAAGACAGTGAGTGAACAAGACAGTTTTACGCTATTATTTACACTACGATGTTTTGGGTACATAGCATCTGGGTTTCCAAAATTTTGGACGTTGGCACATGACTGGATAGCTTTTAACAGGTTTCTGTATGCAGGAGGGCTTTATTCGCTTGTGGAGAGGCCTCAACGCTTCCCTCGCAATTGCTGTGCCATCAGTAAGTTGCTCCATTACTTGATTATTTGTCATTGGATTCTCTACAATGATACTCTGGAATTTTGGTGTCGTGCTTTATTCTGAAATCTATTCTCTCAAGCAGATAGCTGATGACTGTAAATGATTGCACCAGGTGGGAATCTATCTACCAAGTTACGACTTACTTCAAGATACTATGTGTCGATATTCCGATGAGAATTCTCTGGGTTTGAAGCCGTATGCACCAATGCTAGCTGGTGCTTTAGCACGATCTCTCGCAGTTCTTGTATGTTCACCTCTTGAGCTTGCGAAAACCCGTATGCAGGTTAGCTTTTTTACCATCTTCATGAACTCCTTTGTCCTTGGTTGTCTATGAGGCTCCAATGATTTCAAAATTGAATTAGTGGAGGATATCAACGTTGTTCTTAGGACAAATAATCATATCCCTGAACCGTTTATCTATCCCTTTTAATTGTGTTAATATAATACTTAATCTTTTGGTCTCTTTTTTATTGTTTTTCGCATTGTCGTTTTTTTCTTTTCTTTTCTTTTCTTTTCTCGTAGAATGTGAAATGGTATTTATCTGGGAGCAAGGGTGTTTTAATATGAGCAGCCCTATTAGTTATCGGATGCTTATTCACACATTTTAATTGAGCGCAGTTTTTTGTAATAACTGGCTATTAACATTTGATTGGGCTATATCAGTGGTGTTTTTGTACAAATTACGATTTCAATCTTTGGAACGTTGCAGGCTCAAGTGGATCCAAGGACTGGAAAATTGCCTGGGATAGTCTCCGTCTTACGTAGTGTAAATAACACATATGCAACGGATGGAGGTCGATGTAAGATTTCTTCTCCTTTCTAGAGCTCTGTCGAGTAGGTTGCTTCGTCGCTGCTTTCATGATAACGTTGAGTATGTATGTATGTTTTATGCTCTCTGCCCCCCGATAACCCGCATGATGTGAACATCACTTGAAACCGAACGATTTGTTGGCAGTGCAAGGAATTAGGGTTATGTGGACAGGCGTGGGAGCACAGCTTGCTCGAGATGTTCCATTTTCTGCTATTTGCTGGAGTGTTCTGGAGCCTGTAAGCTTACAACTCTTGTAACTTGTCTCCAATTCTTGTTTTGTATACACAAAACAGGAAGAGCAGTTGGTCTGTTGTTAGGTTTATTATTTTTGTATTGTGCTTGTTCACTAGGTTTGTCGAGAATGTTCAGATGAATCTTAGACTTTTGGTTTGGCTGTATTTATTCCAATCATGTACAATCCGAATTGCGAATTCCACTTTTTTTTTTTTTTAGTTACATGACGCATCAGTGATGAGCCTGGGGTGAATATCTTGAGAGTATCTTTAGTACAGAAATCAATAATTGAACTACGATTGAGTAGTCTAAACATGATTCGTCTAAGCACGGACTTTTTCCACCGGCTTCTATTGCCAAGTTCTAGGCTCTTTCAGTTCCTTAACACAACTCTTACTTATGTGCAGGTACGAGGCTTTGCCCTTGAAACTGCAGGCCCTGACCCACACATAGGAAGGGTATTGGGAGCCAATTTTGCTGCAGGCATGCTTGCAGGTGGAATCGCAGCAGCTGCCACTTGCCCTCTTGATGTAGTGAAAACCTGGCGTCAAATTGAGGTACGTTAGTGGGTATTTATCTATCTACCATAATTGTTACATTTGAGAAATTTCAACTTTGTGAAATTTAAGGCACGGGGGGGCCATAGTTCGTTCACTTGTTGCGAATATGTGATACATATTGTTGTGTGTGTGTGTGTGTATACGTATTTCTGTGTGTATTTTAATGCTCATTTTGTGGTTGTGTTACACAGAAAGATCCTGCTAAAGCTATGTCATCGACTCTTCGGCAAACCCTTTCTGAAGTCTGGCAGTATGTTGCTTTTCATAAATATCATAGGTTTTTGTATTTTAAAAGAACGGACATTACATCAATCCTTTTTTTCGTAGACAGACATGTTCTTGGCTGTGTTGTGTATACTCCTGCTTTGGGATTATCAAACGTGGTGCTCGTCTTCCTCCCTATATCGTAAAAAATTAGGTCAATGACGCAATGGGGTTTCTAACGCTATTTTTGTGTATACTTATGTTGATGCAGTAAAGGAGGAATGCGTGGCTTATTCGCAGGAGTTGGGCCCCGCATTGGCCGCGCTGCACCATCAACAGGAATAGTAGTCTCATTTTATGAGGTTGTCAAGTATGTTCTTCACAGAACATGAAAGCGGAATCTAAACATACTCTTCCTGCACAAGACCCTTCGTTCTCTATGCAAGGGTTTCTGAAAATTCACCTGGCCAGCGTCGAAGTTCAAGGTTTGGTCACTTTTATTCAATTCAAGATATCCACAACGGGTTTGGAATTCTGGAATTCTGGATTTTTTAAAATATTTATTACTTTTAATCATTGATGCTCTAATCGCAGCATGGAAATGAGCCACGTAATCACTCTTCTAGTTGCTTGTAGGAAGAGAGAGATTAGTTTCAAGGTTCTGGCTGTCAGCACCCAGTAAATAGAGAGACCTTGAGCACCTTCGATTCAACACTGAAAAAATGTTGTCAGCTGAGACATTTCTAGATGTACTATCAACACTTCCCCTGGGTGAGCACATGGACCTCAAACAAGCTCTGGCCAATCTAGGTCAACCATTGGTATCATGCCTCTTTTTAGTTCTAGGATAGACTAACCACCTCTACAGATTTTGCATTCAGAAAGGTTCGGGTGTTGCAATGCGATCATGTAATCCTTTTGCTACCCTTCGCCATTGAAAAGCTCCACACTTCAAGGTTGAGATGATACAAATGACAGAATGTTGTCACGCACTCTCTGCTGGTTGGTTGTCTCACAATCTCTTGGATTGCACCTTTTGTATTACAGCCGAGATAATTGATTCATATGTGTCCACATCAAGATATGAAAGCACTGAGAAGAACTGCTCTATTATCATGATACTATTGCATTGTTATCAAATCCATATTTGGAGACTCTTCTTTGCTTTCATATGAAAATTCCAAATTAAATGTGCACACACAAAATATCAATTGCATTTCAATTCTTTCGATTCTTTCATGTAATTGATGTACATTATTGTGTATGCCTTGTGTTTGTACTGTTCATGTTACAAGCACGCCCCAATTTGCTATATGTACACCCAAGATCTCTAATTGGTTGCTTCGTGACTTCTTTCTAATCATGGCAGAAGTCCTAGACCTCCTCCCACATTTCCCAATTTCGATGTAAGTCTTGTGCTTCTTTTCCCTTTTTTTCGCCTTTGCACAAGTCCTAGTCTTGTTGCCATTTCCAACCCCCTTTCTTTCTCCAATCTCAATATTGTTTTTATTTCCTATCCTTAGTTTTGGTGCAAGTCTCAATCTCAATACCACTCATCTTGGTGTGAGTCTTAGTGCACTCTCCCTCATTCTCAATTCATGTCTCTAGTTCTAATGTAAGTCCTAGTCTTACCCCTGAATTCCTTGATCCCTTACACTTGCTAGTTCATTTAGCAAACCAACCAATTAAAGGCCTTTATTTTCTTAGGTGTGCATATGGCAACTTGGAGTGTGCTTCTAATATATCCTCTTAAATTATCACTCGGAAACACTTAAATATAAAAAAATATAAAACATTTTTCTTTTTTTATAATTTATTTCAAAAAAATTGTAAACAAAATTGTATAATTATATGTTTTGTTTATTATTAGATTAAATAATGAAAATTTTATAACAAGTCAAAATTTAATATTTAATTATTTTTAAATATATATATATATTTGAATCATTTACTCTTTTAAGAAATAATTCAATCTAAATAAAAAGGTTTGGTGTTAGAGTTAAAAGATACATAAGATTAAATCCCCAATATATGAAAGTAAATAAACATATGAAATTTTTACAATAATAAGTAATGAAAGGAAGTAAGAACTTTCTTGAGTTCTACCATTTTGTAACCCAAATTATAAACCCAACCCAATGCAATGCAAAAAAAAATCATGTTATTCATCGTCTCCTCAAGTAGGCCCCACAGGCGATAGTGGTCCCACGTTCCCATGGATGATGTCCACAGGAAACGTGAGGGGAACGAGAAGTTCAAAAACAGCAGAGGGAACGAGTTTGTTTGTTGCGAAGGCGACGACTCGACGAAGCGAAACCGCACGAAGTTTGAAAAAAACTGCCGAGCATCGCCGAGAGCATTGACGCTTCCTCTCGACCCGATTGCGCATGCAGCTTCGGTAATCGCCCCCGCGTGCCTACAAATATGCATTCCTCGTATCGTGAGCTTTCCGTTGATATCTTACTGGCCCGAGGAGGCTCTGTTTTGCGTATTCTGTGAGTTGTTTTTAGCCAAGCCCTAATTTCCTCGTGAAGGTGATGCATCACGCGCTGCAGTTTGGTTCTCTCGGATGCTTGCCGCTTTTTTTTTTTTTTTTTTTTTTTTTTTGTTTGTTTGTTTGTTTGAATAGATGCAATCGCTATTCTGGATCGACTCCGGTCTCATTGCATAGATTTGGTAGAATAGGATAGAACTAAGGCTTTTTTTTTTTGTCGAATTGGGAGGGTGTTTGGTAATATGATCGGGGCGTTTAGGTGAATTCTGTCGAATTGGGAGGATTTTGATGGCTGTAGGTGTTGAAGAGAGCTGTTCAGTTGAATTTCAGATAGTTGCTCTGGTTTTACAACATGGTTGAGAGATTTCGAAAGCATTTCATTGTGTGATGATGTTTTGAAGCTCTTTTCTGAGCTACATTATCTTCAATTTTTTGTTATGTTAGTTCTTGACAGTTGCGGGGGTCGACGAAGGTTTGTTGCGTTTGTGCTTAATTTCGGTTTTTATTTATTGTTGTACTTAATTTTTCCAAGTTTGGTGATGATACAATGGTTGGAAATATCACAGTGGACAATTCTGGGCGGGAGGATTGGGGTTATCTCAGAGACTTGCATTCTACTGCCCGATCAACTTGTATATATATATATATATATATATATATATATATATATTATGTTGTTTTGAGTGAAAATTAAGAGAGTTATTCAGTGGTTAGCTCAGCGTTCTGTTTGGACATGTCCATTTCATTGCCATTCTTCCGAAGTAGTTTCAATGACCGTTACGGATTCTTTGTAATTTGTTTCACAGGATCAACATAAATTCATTCGATGAACGCGATACTTGACCTGCTGGCAACCTTTTGCAGCTGTAGTTAATTATCAGAAGTCACAATCATTGCATGATAAGTTCGGTCACTTGGTGACAAACGCGCGGTATTCATCATGGGGGCGACACGGAAATTACAAGGAGAAATCGACAAAGTGCTCAAGAAAGTGCAAGAAGGTGTTGATGTTTTTGACAGTATCTGGAACAAGGTGAATGAGCTCGGTATTCCTACTTATGAAGCTGAATTTTGTATATTTTTATGGGAGCTTCAACATGATTATTTTAATTCCTTTTGGTGCTGGTTCTGCATGAATGTGGTTGGACGTGGGTCCTACTGGGTTCCATAATGTCCTGGTTTGGGCTGAATTTATCTGTTTAAGTCTGCTTACGTGAACGAGGCTTGAGGGCAAGTGCGTGGAGGAAATTAATTAGCGACCTAGTAAGTCTTGTGAAACTGATTTTCACAAGCTGCTCAATGGTGAAGTACTGGGAATTTCCTTACTCACGTCATGGGCAGGTAATGTGGTTGGTTGATTTTGCTGACACATCTCTCCACGGTTCTCAACAATGACGTAACATGTCGAGGTATCGCAGGTTTACGACACTGAAAATGTTAATCAGAAGGAGAAGTTCGAGGCAGATTTAAAGAAGGAAATTAAGAAGCTACAGCGTTATCGTGATCAAATTAAGATGTGGATTCAATCTAATGAGATCAAAGACAAAAAGGTAACGCAGTGTCTTCTGGACAACGCTACTTGCTACACTTAGAACAATTTATTTAATAATTTAGTAAAAGAAAACTGTAAATCATTTTGTAAAGCATGTGTGTGAAAAGAATGAAAGAATCAACGTTTTTTACAACTCCACATCTCAGTCCTTCCTTCTTTCCTTTCTTTCTTTTTGTTTGTGTGTGTGGACTATTGAAATTTATTGATGATAACATTTGAAAATATTTGCAAATATACAGTTGGTGGATTAATCAAGTGCGATTTGGATATTCCTTGTGCTTTCTGTGCGATGCAGGCTCTTGTTGAGGCTCGGAAGCAGATAGAGCGAGAAATGGAACGATTTAAAGTGTGTGAAAAGGAAACCAAGACAAAAGCTTTTTCTAAAGAAGGCTTGGGCCAGCAACCAAAAACGGTTAGTCTCTAATCTTCAATACATTGATATCATCTCTTTGGGTCTTGAAGCTGTGCATGTGCGACTAGAATTACTTCTACAACACCTAGTTCGCAGTTTTCTGCGACAGTGAGACATGCGTATACGAATTCAAGGGTGGAATTATATCGTGTGGCACGATCTTATGAATAATCTTAGTTCAGCATATGGATAATTGGACGAAAAGAGCTACCATGTCAGAATTTCATAACAGTGAGCTACACATTCATAATTTGGCTTATTCATGAATTCAAATGTGCGTCTTGCTGAACTATTCAGCTGGAGTTGCCTTTGAAATTACCTTGCATCCGCTTGGGAGTGTAAGCGTGAACAGTGAAGATTACTGAGTTAGATTTTTAAATAATTCTTTGCAAGCAATAGTTGTTGTCAATTTGGTGTTGTCTGGTTGAGTTTTTGTTTTCATTCCCGTTTAGTTTAATGTCATTGGTTTTGATACTTTTTCGTCATGAGTTGTCTCGCGCCTCGTACGTGTGGCTTGGGGTCTGGTTTCGTAGCGTAGTTTTTCATAGTTGAGACACGTTTTTATTAAAACTTGCTATAATCAACTCAGCCCTCATAATTTAGTTAGTGGTAAATGTGCTTGTCTGCTAGCAGGATCCTCGAGATAAAGCAAAAGGGGAGTCACGAGATTGGCTTAACAATATGGTATGCTTTATTTGTTGATATTTTTTGCAAAATATTTCCATCGATGTTTCTTTGGGTTTTTTGTTTGCTGGTTCAATGGGCTAATTCGTCCTGGGCCAGTCGAAGTCAGTTTGTTATCTTTCCATTACCTTCTTCGCATAATGTGAAGTTGAATTTTTGTGTTGGTAGGTTAGTGAGTTGGAATCACAAATCGACTCTTTCGAAGCAGAGATGGAGGGTCTTCAAGTCAAAAAGGGAAAGGCTCGACCTCCTCGTTTGGTATTGTATCCGTTTCCTATATGTCAGCTTTGATATGTGTATACTTGGGTGCACAGAGTAGTTTGTTATGACAGTGGGTATTAATTTGCAATTTTCCTTTCCATCTGTTTTTGAATGTCGAAATTCGCTGAGCTTCTGCCAAATTTGACGTTCTTTCTGTCATTTGATTGGACAGACCCATCTTGAAGAATCAATCAACCGACATAAATTGCACATCATAAAATTGGAGCTAGTGTTGCGTCTGCTGGACAACGACGAACTTTCCGCCGACGAGGTGCAAGAAGTGAGACATTTAGTTGAGGATTATGTCGAACGTAATCAGGTGGGCTTTCTCTTGCCCTACACGCTCGATTGAGCCATATAAGATGTCAAAACGTACATGACGTTGTGAACCATTGGCCCCAACTTTTTTTTAGTGGCTGCATGTATCTAGTTTCCGTTTTTTTTTTTTTTTTTTTTTTTTTTTTTTTTTTTTTTTTTTTTTCTTCCAATGTAGGACAGTGACCCTGAAGGATGTTTTTCCCTGCTCATCAAGCAAACAGTGATGACGTTTTCTTCATGTTTTGGACTTTTGAGAGAACGCTACGATTTTTTCATTTAAGCTTGTGGGTAGTGGAGCACAAAAGCTGAAATGGTACTTCTTAGCGTGTTCTCTATGGCTTGACCTTTGTATGGTTATCACTTACCAAGCTAATGGGTGCTTTTTGATGTCAGGAGGACTTTGAGGCTTTTGAGGATGTTGACGACATATACCAGTATTTACCTCTGGATAAAATTGAAGCACTGGAAAACCTTGAGGCAATACCAAATGTCGCTCCTTCTATTGTCGTTAAAGAGAAGGTTAGCAGTTGTGGGTCTTGTTTTTAATTGTATTTCCAAGCAAGGAATATTAACTCCGTCATCACTTCCCGACTTATCTTTATTAAGAGTAAATTCGATACCTGGAAATGGTGTTTCATTGGAGTGTATATTTTTTCTCTTTGCCACATTCAGGCGGCAGTTGCAGCAGCCTCTGGAGTTGGTGTGCCTCCTCTTGGCTCTGTATTGAAACCAACCATTATACTGCCAGTTACCCAATCTGTAAGTGGGCTCTCTCCATCCTAAAAGTCTATGCAATCTTTAGTTTTCTCAAGTCACTTCGACTGATTGCTGCATAGCTCATCTTCAGCAATTGGAAGTTCTGAGAGACCCGTCATCTTTGAGCTTTGTTCTTTATGATTGATATCAGGAACAGTCATTAATGAATGTGACATCATGCAGGCTATGTCTTCATCACTTGGAATATCCCCGCTGGTTTCACCATCGTCACAACCGGTCGGCAACGATGATACTGTGACCTCTTCAGAATCATCCGCTGAGTCTCCAGGGACCCGGACACGAGGCACACCTACGTTAGCAATGTCTCCCACGAGCAGCACTCCAAAGTCAAGCTCTCCCGCAGTTGTACTTAGTGTTAGCCCAGTGGGGAGTGCAGGGGTTCCTTCCCCTTCTACTGGAGCTGGATCTCTGTCGCGACAACTTGGCAATTTGAATATTACAGGTATTCACTGTGAGTAATAATTTATAGGAAGTGAATTATGTCTAGAAGCTCTGAAATTTCCTCTTGGATTAGATCCTCTGGAATCAATCGACATTTTTCTTCGTCAGTGCGCTGATTAGTTCGCCAAATATTTGTTCTGTGGATGATTTTTTTATTCTTTCCTTTCTGAACGCGTTTGTTTGTGCATGCTTCAGGTACTCCGACTGGCATCTCACCTGTAAGGCCTGTCCCTGTAAAGTCTTTATCCACAACTCCTGCTCTGCAACCTGCTGTTCTGCAAGGTCGAGTTAAGGAGGATGAGACAAGTGCGCTATCAGGACGGCGGGTAGGACCAGGACTGGGTGGAAATTCTACCAGAGGACAATCTCCTCCTCCTGTCACAGCATCTGGAAGTGCAAGCCCTCTAGTGTCTCAAATGGATTTAAGCAAGAGACTTGGTCTTACTGGTGGTGATGACCGACATCCAACAGGCGGCGGTTTGTCACAGCAGTTCTCTGGGACTTTAGGTAGCTCATGTCCGACATTGTCAACGACTCCCTTGTGATATTTATCTAAATTTTTAGCTGAATTGAACTATTTATGCAAGAGACCTCTGGAAACTGTTGATTCCAATTACAACTAGCTGTCTTCGACTCTCCATGTTTTCACGTATGAATTGCAAGTGCACAACGTGTCTGTGCTGAATTAAAATTGATATTTCTAGGTAGTGGAAACCGGGTGTTCGGACCGGGAGGTTTGGGTGACAATGGCATAGGGGCATCAGATACTGGACTACCGGGCACTCGTTTGTTTCCAGGTTAGTTGTGAAAGTCAACTTTGAACATTCTCGACTATATTTTCATCATTAAGTATGCATCTATCAGGCTTCCAATTCCTCTTTTCTGTTGAATATACACGTGAAGTTGCTAGCGAGCTGAAGTGAGTTTACATATTGCAGCCGGGAATATGCCAGCGGGTGGACAGTGGCGTCCGCATTCTGCCAACTCACAAGAAACGGTAAGATATGTTTTGTTAAATATGTGCATGATTTCTCGATGCAGACATTGTCAAAATATTGAATTCTGTTTCCATTCCTGTATGATATTAATTCCGCGTGCTTTAGCTTCAGACGGTTACCAACATGGACTAGTTTAATGAGTGTCACGCCTTTAGTATGCTTAGACTTTTACTGCTCATTCCTGTCTTGCTCATGCAGGTATACTGTAAAGTAAACTGCACTTGTATGTGCTATTCCTTTGTCTTCTAAAATAAGTATCTTATTTATTTATTTATTTTTCTCCCTTTTAGGGACCATATCATGTGCGATCCGAGATTATGCCGGATCAGAAACAAAAGTTCTTACAACGGTACCAGCAGACACAGCAAGGCCACTCTGCTGCTTCTCTGCTTACAGGTGGGCCTCAGCTTTCAAGCTCCTCGCTAAAGCAACCTCCTGGTCTTGCTGCTCCTCAGGTGAGTCTTCTTCAGCAGGTTCTACAACTTCTCTGACATATTTTCTCTGTGCTTCTGATTTTCAAGAATTCACTCTGTACGCTATAGAATTCTGGTATTGTTATGAGATAACAATCTGATAAGATAATAAAGTTCTGAAGAATTACTCTTATGTTCCATTGTTGCTGCAGGCCCAGCTTCACATAACGCAGCAGCAACAGCAGAATATAATTCTGTACCAGCAAAATTCGATGCTGGGAGCATCTCAAAACGCAACTACTCAGAGGCAATCATCTCTTGGTTTGGTTACAAGCCCACAGTCACCTTCTCCTTCTTCCACACCCGTACCAACACATTTGTCGCAGGGGTTATCTATATCTTCTCCACAACAGTTAACACAAGTGTCCTTATCCTCGGCTACCTCTCCATCTGAACATGGTTTGCACTATCGCTCTCTTATCAGTTTGGAAGTTTTTACTTGCATAAGTACAGGAATGAGATGTGTGCTTTTGTTTCTCAACAGACTTTATTATGTTTACTGCTAATCAAGTTTTGCTAGTGATGTGATATGTGCATGTATCCGAGTTGAATTTTCCGAATGCTTGGCTTGTGTTTATTTAAATCTTTTGAATTCGAGCATGCGACTTCGTATATGAATGCTGCCTGAACTTGAGATGATAAGAGCGTTGTTTCTTTGTTCAATAGATACAAGCGGTAGAAGAGTGGAGTCAGCACAGCAACAAATGCCCTCGCAGCTGCTTAAATCGTCAGAAGATTCTGCTGCTGATGTTTCATCTTTGGGATCAGCCTTCAGAAGTGGCATGACATTGAGTGACGATGACCTGAAAAATTCGGATACCTTCGATGTTTCTGTAATGCCCCTTCCCTATTCGGTTGTCATGCTGGATTGTCTGTCCTTCAGGTGTACAGTCGTTGTAATGTTTTCGTGGCGCCTCGAAAACAAAACAGTGATGTTCAATTTTTTGCCAATTGTGCGTGATTCTCATTTGATGCTCATTCTTTCGAAGCAATGACTACCCTATATGGAATGAGGAGTGATGTGAAGCATTAAGGCTGATTACAATATGAGGCACTGAAGAATAACTATGGTCAGTGAGGAACAATGTGGCACTACTAAGAAACAAAAAAGTGTTCTAGGAATTTCAGTTTGGTGGCCTTCATCTGGGAATAATTCTGTATTAATAGCTCTTAACAAAGAAGGTGGCTTCTGCTACCTACAGTTTCTTCCATCTACCGCTTGGGTTCCTACTGGTGCGAATGCTAGTGGTGTCCTCGTTGATTTTGCAGATGAAATTGGACTAGATGAAGGAGTTTTATGATAGAGAAGCCTCAATGAACTCAAATCAAGCCTTAGGGATCAGTTAGTATTCTCCTTTGACGAAATAATTGAGTCTTGAACTGTCAACGAAGAACCTCACATGATCAAGCTGAAGTGAAAAACCAAAATGTAATAAAAATGAACTTGTGATGTGGGTCTTACTTTAAGCAAATAATGAATTTCCTGATGTTCCTATGCCAGTAAGCACAATTTTGAAGATTCGAACTTTTAGGGTATTCGGAATAAAGTATCTTGATGAGATATATCATGAATGGAAGTTAGTTTTTATATGGTGATAAGGGAAGAGACTTCCAAGAAGATAAAAATTAATTTGAGTCTACAAAGAAACGAAAAACCTCTGTTGTGTGTTGCAGGGACCCAAAGAAGGTGACAGTTGGTATGACAAATCTACCCTGCAGGTCGGGACACCGGGCACACTTGCGGACTACAGTCAGCAATCTCGAGATGCTGATCTTGCATCAGGGCAGCAGAGCCACCATCCACAATCCTCTATGAATCCAGGTGTCATTGGACGGCGGAATGTGACCGACCTTGGCGCCATCGGTGACAATTTAACACCAGCTTTGGGCCGCGAACATTTTGTAGCACAACACGAGGCTTTGGAACATGCATACAGGAACCTACCTTTGCCAAAGGATTCAGAAAGGCCCAAGAGCTATACTCCTGTAATCATAACTTTCAACTGGATAAGGCTTGTTATGACTTAGATTTTCTACCCAATGGATGAGTTTTTAATTCAGTCTCATGTGCTTTTGTAGTTATGCAGTCCTTTCTATGGCATTATAGAGGCATCTGCTTCTTCCCTGGGTCACTATTGCTGGGCCCATTCCAAATTCCCGGTCCCTTCCTGGAAGGTTTTTAAGTTTCTGGGAGGATGACTGTAGGGTCAAGTGGATGCGAGTCCATATTTATTATCATTTAATTTTAATTTTTTTGGTTCATTTGTATATGTTCATGGTTGGTTGTCTCAGAAATGTGGCAAAGCCCATAAACCCACAATCCTTGTGCCTCCATAATTTGGGGATTCCGAATGTTAATCTGATGTCATTTTTGCAGAGGTATCCAACTATCACTCCTGCTTCCTATCCGCAAATGCAAGCCCCAGTTATCGATAATCCAGCCCTTTGGGAACGTTTAGACAAGGATGTGCTCTTCTATGCCTTTTATTATCAGCAGGTATGTTGCATATCATGTTTCTTTGCAGGCACATTTGGGCATCATTTTGCCAAGTTACTTGGCCAGTATTTTTGTTCACCTTAAATTGAATGTAACATACTCGAATGATGCAGAAGTTGAGAAAACCATTGTATGTGCTGAGAATCTCTCTTTTTGAGGATGCATGAGTACATACACTATTAGTGGCAATCCTACTGCTAATATACTACTCAAACTTGCTGTTCGCATTGATTCTCTGGGGTTTGACTACAGGGAACATATCAGCAGTACTTAGCAGCTCGGGAGTTGAAAAAGCAATCATGGCGGTATCACAAAAAATACAACACATGGTTTCAACGTCATGAAGAGCCCAAGATCACTACGGATGAATATGAAACTGGTACCTACGTGTATTTCGACTTTCACGTCGTCCACAATGATTACCAACAAGGCTGGTATGGTTGTTTTTCCTCGGACTTCGCTTTCTTCAGTAAATTTTGTTCAGTTTTAGTGATACGATGTCAGTCTGGTAGAGAATCCGTATATGTCAGGCATTACTCCTTAAGGATGTCGTGATGATCCAGTCTGCTGTGCAGGTGTCAACGAATCAAGACGGAGTTTACGTTTGAGTATTGTTATCTTGAGGATGAGCTTATTGTCTGAGGCTTTCATTTGTTGGTGTCCCTTTATAATCATCAACAAATAGTTTTGTAAATAGCTACATATGTTTTTTGAATAAAGACTGATCATTCCAGAGGCAGTGTGTAGTCTCTAAAATAAATGTTGAGGACTTTACATTAAAATGAATCACTAGTATAACCTGTATGTTAGTGTCGTAACAAAGATTTTAAGGGAGGAATGTATAAATGATTGTGTAACCATTGCAATAACCTTAAATCATTGATAATTGTACATGATAAGATGTTTTTGTGATGAAAATGTATTATAAAAAAGTAACCAAAAAGTAGTGCAATCTTTAAAAGTTGTAAAATATTTTTTTGGTTGTGAATGAAGTGTTAACAATAATTTAAATCTTCTCAACAATTTAAATTAATGAATGAATACAAATAAATCAAGTTTATTGATTTAATTTACTATCATTTTTACATGAATTTATTTTTTAGAAAATGTTGTTAGATAAATCCAAATTCATACACAATATACATGGAAGATGTGTTAAATAAAAAGAATATAATAGATAAAATTATGCAAGTTATTGCATTATATATTGTATTATATATGTATATTACAAAGATCTAAAAGAAAAAAGAAAATAAATAAATAAATAAATAAATATATATATATATATATATATATATATATATTTTATAAAGAAACTAGATTGTTTAATTATAGGTATAAAAAAACGTATTAATTAAAATAAAAAATAAAAACTATTAAGTCAATAAATACTTTGAATTGTTTTAATATAAATTAATTTAACTATACATAATAAAGTTGTGAATTATACCTAATTTGATGTTAATGTATCAAAAATCACCTCAACAATTGTTTTAGTTAAATTATTTATTTTCTTATATAGATAAAAAATTAAGACTTAGGCAACAAATACATCTCAAATTGCTATATGCTCACCTATATATCAAAACACACATCTTAAGCCTTTGTTTGTTAAAGACATGAATCTTGAATCAAAAATTCAAAAAAAATAGATATTCACTAAAAACTAATATAGAATTGAAATTGAAATGGCTATTATCAAAGACAAGAAGACTAGAAAGTCTTGAAGCAAGACTAAGGATTAAAAAAACATTGATAAGAGTAAAGAAGGCTTCAATCTTGCTTTCATATATACTACCTATTAAGAGCTATGTGGCAACATCCTATAGGACCTCCAACATGTTTTCAATTTGCAAGGCATGTGTTTTAACTTTCAAGGCAAGTTTCCTATATGCTTACGACACTATTAGCTTGTATTATAAGCTATCTATATGTGATACATGGCTAACTTCTTAACTAAGTTTCTTACACACAAATCAATTATACAAATGTATGGATTCAAGTACATATTTATAAAAATTCTAAGAAGCTTTGCCATAATATAATATTAAATCTATTTGCATTTATCTTCTATCCAATATTTTTTATCTAGATAAATATGTATGTCAGTAATATTACCTCTCCTTCTAGAGACAAGTTCTATGAGGAGGGATCATCAAATGTTGAAGAAGTTTAGGATGCTACAAATTGTATTTGCTATATAGTTTGATCTTTGTTCTCTTCAAAGGTGGTTGATAGGTCCTCTTTGCTATCAATAATATCCCATTCTAAGGTGAAAAGACTACCTTATTATTTGATTGTTGTTAAGGCCTTTATAAAAATTTTTAAACAAAATATTTATAAGTCCATTAGAATTTATTTTTACCTCTAATAAAATTACCAAACATTGAGAATCTCTTTCAAGGTCATGATACCAAATGACTTGTATCTTGTCATCTATTCAAAAAACAACTTGTTATTCTTGACGGTCTTTATCTTGATTACATTGTCTTGAAGGTTGTAACAATTGTTATGTCTTGTTTGATAAGTCAACAAATGATAGCTCTTGAATTGAATCTATTCATTGTTGGTTCTCTATCTTCTTAGTACTATAAATACATATAAGCTATAAATATAAATAAAAGATAAAATATAATTTTTTTTGAACTATATTTTTTTAAAGCTAAGATTTATTATTCTTTATTTTGGTTTTGATTGATACCATTGATGAAAAGTATCAACCTTCTTTGCTACATTTTTAAGTTTCTTATTTGGCTTCCATATGCATTTACTAACATCATATACATGCCAATGAATAAGTTATTTCAACCTATTTCGGCTCCATCTTGAATTTAAGACTTTTTCCATCTTGAATTCTTGATTATTATTTACTCCTATAAAAAGAAGTGGCATTTATCTTCTTTCCAAAATACTCATTGTCTTATATGGCTTAAAATGAGACATGTGGAATATAAAATGGAGCTTCATAGATTTTAATAGATGTAACTAATAAGCAACTAAATTGATTTATTTACAAATAAGAAATGATCTAAACTTATGATAATCCAACTTATGACAAGAATCACTAGTCTTGATATTATAATGAAGTAATTATATCTTGTCACCAACATAGAATTAAGGTTGCTCTTTGCAATAGGCATCCGCATTGGTCTTTTGTTATTTTTGAGCTTTTTTTTAGTAATTCCTTTATTATTGTATGTAGCTCAAATAAATAATTTATCAAATCTTTTGCTAGAGTATAATAAATTTTTGAGAAGTCAAAAGCATCAAGTCATGGATGATAATCATATATAATAAAAGAAGTTATTTATTGCATAGAAGAATATATTATATTATTATTAGCAAATTTTATCAATAAAAAAAATTTATCTAATCATCTTATTGGCAGTTGATGGTACATCTTAAATATTACTCTAAAACTTAATATATATGCTTTTTTTATCCATTAATTTAGAAATAAATAGCCAAAGATAGCTTTATATCTATTTTTAGAATCTTAAAAAAGATTTTTTAAAATTTTAATATAAATTAAGTCTTCTTATCCAATATAGTATCTTTGGATAATCTATAATAGTAATAAATATTATTAAGAAAAATTTTAATTATTTTTTCACCAATGATAGATTTTATATATGATAAAAAAAATATATTATCATAATAAAATTATCTACTAGTATGAATATAGAATCATATGAACTTGAGATTAAAATATTTGTAATAAAATCCATAAAAATAAAAGACCAGAGTAATTCCAAAATATATAATGATTGAAGAAGTCCATAAAATTGATAACAAGATGTTTTTGATTTTGAAAAAATATTACATGATCATATAAAATCTTTTACTGTCTTCCACATTTGAAGGAATAAAAAATCTTTAGATATTAGCTCCAAAGTCTTGTTGTATCCAAAATATCTAATTGTTGAAAAATTAAGACAAGCTTGAAGAACATATAATCACTCTTTGGCTTACAAAATATATAATTGTTCCTTGAAATAGAATATATTATTCTTGAATTCAAACTTAAAAGTCTCATGAAAATTAAAAGAATTATTTTTGATAACATAAACAAGAAAATAAAAGGACATATTCAATTAAACTTGCTTGAAAAAGGTTGAATCAATAATCAATGTTGATGTCAAGGACATGAACTAAAAGATGATGTATAAACCAATGAAATTCGTGTCAAAGAAAGAATAACAAAATAAAAATAAGGAAGTACGTATATTAAAAAGAAATTGGAATGGCTTATTGTCAAAAGACAAGGAAACTTGAAACTCTTGAAACTAAACTAGAAGCAAAAAAGGAGTTGACAAGAGTGAAGAGGGCTTCATTCTTGTCTCTATATATACTATCTAACTAAGGGCTATGTGGCAATGTTCTATAGGAATTTCAATATGTGTTGACTTTGTAGGACACATGCCTTAACTTACAAGGCAAGTTTTTCTATATGAGGGCCACATAATTAGCTTGGTCTTTAAGCTAACAACATGTGTGGCACATGGCCAACTTGTTGACCACTTTTCTAACCCAAAAAATCAATTATAGACACCTATAAAGTCAAAGAAATATCTATGAAGCTTCTAGAAAGCTTCTATAGAAGATATTATAGAATTAACTTAATTTTATCTACTTCTATTTACTTCTACTTATTTATACAGGTAATTATTGGCTTACATGTCTATGTCCATGAGAATTTTTTTCATTGTTTAAAGATGAAATTTTTTTGGCTTTATTTATTTATTTATTTTTATTAATCAAAAGTTATATTTTCTTCTTTTTTTTTATACAAGATAAGAATATCTAAATAGAACGTTTGACAAACTTTATTATTTTGAATTGATAAGTAATCTTGAAATCAAATCTTCATAAAGATATGTTACAACAAGTTTGGTGATGATTCAAAATACATACCAACATGAAATATTTAAAGTATTTATAATTTGTATATATTATGACTAGATTAGAAGCAACTTTTAGATAATGACACCATTCTTGAAATAAATCCATGATTACAATAAGCTCTTTGTTGTGGATCTCATAATTAAACTTGGTTATTAAAATTATTTTGGAATAAAGAGCTATTAAATAGAGCTTATGATCTACTCTCATTTGTAATAACACCATATTCATAGTAAAGTCTAATACGTCTATTTGTATAAAGAATATCTTAAAAAGATTAGTGTAAAAATAAATAATATTTTCAAGGCTTCAAAAGATGTTTTAGCTTCTTTGCTCTAATTAAGTTTGTCTTTACATGTCATATGTATAAAAAGAGCCACAATTTGAAAAAAAAATCTTAATAAAGATCTAGTAGTAATTAGCAAATCTTAAAAAATATTACACATCTTTGATTATTTTTGGAATCTTCTAATCCATAATAGTTTGAATCTTCTTTGGATCCATCATTAATCCTTTGTTGGAAATGATATATCTTAAGAATTCAACTTGAATAGTGTGAAATACACAATTTTTTATCTTAGCATATAATCTTGTATATCTTAGTTTTTGTAATATACAATAAACATAAAGTTTATGCTCTTTTATATTCTTAGAATAGATTAAGATGTTGTTTAAGTAACAAATAATAAAGTCATAAAGAAAATTATAGATGACATCATTCATTAGATGTTAAAAAGCAATTGATGCATTTATAAGTCTAAAAAACATGACATTATATTTGAAATATCCATACCTTATTTAAAATACAGTTTTTTATTCATCTCCTTCTTTAATACA